CCTCCCACCCCCTCCGGTACCGGTACCCGTCCGGCGCCGCCGGCCCCGGCCCGTGTCACCCCGGTGCCGGTGGATGGAGCTGAGCTGTGCCATGGCGGGCAGCGCCGCCGCCCCGCCGGGCCCTGGGCCCCCCCCCACTACCGCCGCCGGGCTGGCGGAGGGCGAGGAGTACGAGAGCCTGCCCAGCAGCGTCGCGCTCGGCACGCACATGGTGGCCGGGGCCGTGGCGGGCATCATGGAGCACACGGTCATGTACCCCGTGGACTCGGTCAAGGTGCGTGGGGACAGCGGGGAAGGGGTGCCCGGGGGGGAGCCGGGATGGACCGGGGGGATCCTGCGGGGAGCGGGACAAGGCGCACCGGGGTATTCGGGGGGACGGGGAGTGTGCAGGGGGTTACTGGGGTGCGAGAAGTGCTGGGGGTGTAGAGGGTTTTTTTGGGGTGCAAGAAATGCTGGGGGTGCAAGGAGGGGAGGGAGGAGAAGGGGTGTGCTAGGGTTTTTTGGGGTGCAAGAAGAGGGGAGATGTAAAGGGCGTGCAAGGAACTGTTGGGGTACAAAGGGGAAGGTGTGTGAGCAGCTGTAGGGGTGGAAGAAGTGCTGGGGGTTTTTGGGGTGCAAGGGAGGAAAATCTGCAAGGAATTGGGGTGCAGAGGTGGGGGAAGCATGGAGGGGGTGTTGGGGTGCAAGAAAGGTGGGAACATATAAGGAATCTTGGGACGCACTCAGGCAAAGCGTCCATGGAATATTGGGATGTGTGAGGTTCCTGGGATAGACAAGGCGCTGGGCAGGTCCCCGAGGTGTCACCCCCAAATCCCCACTGGCTCTGGAGCTCTGCTCCCCCTGGGCCCGTCCTGCAGCTCATTTGGGGGAGTTTTGCATGACCGCTGAGGCAAAGGTGACATGCCAGTGCTGCTCTCTGCCCTGGGAGATGCCACCCTCCTGGCCTGAGAGCGGATCAGGAGCTCCCCGGGCAGCTTTTCCCTCCTGGAGCATTGGGATTCCAGCTCAGGAGGGAAAAGCTGCTGGGATGGGGTGGTGTGTCCACAGCAGGACGGGGTGAGTGGCACAGACGTGGCCATGTTGGGTCAGTGTGTGTGAAGCTGGCTAGTGGATTTTGGAGCTGATGATGCTCAATCCCACTCAGGGAAGGCTTCTCAGTGTCTCCAGAGCGGTGGGAATCATCCTGAAGGATATTTCCTCCCTCTGCCCTGCCAGTTTGCTGCTGTGGGAAAACTGGGAAAACTTCAGAAGAGGGAAAACTGGGAAGAGCCAAACTCCCTCGATGGCGGTGTGGATGAATCACGAGATGTTGCAATCTCTTCTCCTTTTCATGCAGGGCTCCCTGAAAGTGTAGAAAGAGCAGAGGAGAGGAAATGCCTTGGCTTTCTCAGGTCCTGCCAGTGTGATAATCAGAGGAAATATTCCCGGTTTTTTTTGGTCCTGTTTTCCCTCTGGGTCTGTCCCCACTGCACCTGGCTCATAGATTTGGGATGTTCCCCCTGGGTGTGGGGTTGGTGCCCACCTCGAGCGTGGCACCAGCTGCTGGCACAAACAAATGAGGTGTTTTGTGCCCAGTCACGGCTGGAGCAGCTCCGTGGGTGTTGTCCCTCCGGAATTCTGGAGTTGCTCACGAGGGCATTTCCTCCACGGGGAAAGCAGAGTGAGAAATGAAAGTGGTGCCCGGCTTCCCGGAGCAGGAGGTGCTTTGGAGGGAAAATTCCCTGAGCTGTGACTTCCCTGGCTGCTCCAGGGCCAGGGCCCTGCCTTAGGCTGGGTAATCCCGCTCAGCCAAGTGCCTGGAAGTGCTGGGAGCAGATAAAACGCTCCGGCTGCTGCGGGAAAATTCTGGTGGAGCCTGGCCAAGGTCGCTCTTCGTGCTGGGCAGAAATCCTGAGCTGCAGGCTGGGATCTGCTCGTGCCCTGGGCACTCGCTGTCATTTCACCTGTCTGCCCTGGGGAAAGGTTACAGCTGACCCAAAAAAGGGATTTTTTTGATCCCTAAAGAGTTTTATTTTTTTATGGTGGGTGTAATTCAATAAGGACCCAGCTCCTAAGAGCAGCTCTTTGGCTTTATTGAGGGAGAGGGGCCACATTCCTATAGAAAAAGAGCAAAGCTTTTCCTCAGTGGGACTTCCTGGCTCAGAGCTCCAGGCTGGAGGGGGTCGGGATTTTTTGGGGGTGCAGAAAGAGCACCTGGGCAGCTCCTGCTCTGAGGGAAATGTCTGGGTTCCAGTGAATCATTTCCTCCCAAAGAGAAAGCGAAAATGTCGTAATTTGGGGAATTGTTTGCTGCAGGCACTTGCACAACCCCTGAGCTTGGTAGGGTCACGGAATCCCAGAATGGTTTGGGTGGGAAGGGACCTTCAAATGCCCCGGTGCCACCCCTGGGACACCTCCCACTGTCCCAGGCTGCTCCAGGCCTTGGACACTTCCAGGGATGCAGGTACAGCCACAACTCCTCTGGGAATTCCATCCCCCCTTCCTCCCTCACAGGGAAGAATTCCTTCCCAATATCCAATTTAAAGCTACGCCCTTTCCCCCCCCCCCCTTTTTTTTTTTCAGATGCTGAATAATAAATAATAATATTTTTTTCCCATTAGGCAAAGCCCCCTCGAGCTCCAGCCTCACCTGCACTTTTCGTCTGCCTGTCCCTTTCAGCACTGGTTGTTTGGATGCTCTGGGCTGGGTTTTGCTGATGCTGAGGGTGTTTCTCACACTTGTCAGCCTTGTTTTTGTTTGTGGCTGCTGCTAACAGCTGTGTTGGGAACCCTGATTCATTCACAAATTATCTGGGGGGGATTAGCATGTCAAGGACTCCCGATGGCAGCAGGAAAGGAGTTTCTGGAGGGCTCTTCTGGAGCCTCCTCCACCTTCTCTGATCCATTTGGTGATTTTTCTGCCGGAGCTGGTTTCCCAAAGGTTGTGAAAACAAAGGATAGGATTCCCCTGGGGATGTGAGGAACAGTTTTGCTCCCCTGGGGATGGATTAATTGCTGGGGGGAGAAACTGGAGGCGTGCAGGGCTGGCACCTCCCTTCTTGCAGAGGGTGCCAGTGGCTCTTTTCTATTAAATCCTTTTCCATAAAAACCTGACCTGTCTTTGGAGCTGCCCTGTTGGTCACAAAGGTCCTGGAAGCACAGCAGAACGTCTGAGGGAGGCAGGGCTGTGGATTATTTGGGGTGGTGGGAGATTCTGCATCCCCCCATTTCCAGCTGCTCCAGGAGGGGCACTTGCTCATGTTCCAGCAGAAGGGGAGTTTTGGGATGTTGGGAATTCCTGGATAACCTGTTGGACTGACCCTCTGCTCCCCTCCCATGGGTGTGCTGCTTATTTGGGGGATGTTCCAGCTGACCCCTCTCCAATTTGGGTTCAGAGCTTGAGCCTGGCTCGTACCTTGCCCTGTTCCAACTGAACCTCCCCCAAACTGGGATTCAGAGCTTGAGCCTGGCTCATGCCTTGTGCTGTTCCAACTGAACCTCCCCAAAACTGGGGTTCAGAGCTTGAGGCTGGCTCCTGCCTTGCCCAACTGGCAGGATCTGCTGGATCCCTGCAGCAATGCTGCTGATTTCCTGCTAAAAGCGTTTTATGCTCCCTTTGCGAGCCTCTGTCCCGTGAAAAACAGGTTGTACTGAGAGAAAATAAATAAAGAAACCCAAACCAAAAGGCAAACGAGGTCTGAGGGTGTTCGTGAGGTGTCAAACCAGTGCCCCTCCACCAGGATATGCAAAACAGGGAGCTGATTCCTGCTGGGGAAACAATTCTGGCTAAAATAAAACAGCACTGGAGTAATCCCAAACTTCATCCAGCAGGACAGAGCTCTTCCCAAGGAGCAGGGAACTGCCTCAACCTGACCCTGGCACTTGTGGTGATGTTTTTTTCTGCCCAAGCTGCAACCAGGACGAGCAGGGTGCTCGTGGCTGGCCCTGCACCGCTGCCTTATGCAACGGGGATTAATTGGAGTAGGTGGAGAAGAATTTCTTGGCTGCTTATCAGGGGTGAGGCTCCAGGAGCTGCTTGGTGGCTTCAGATAGGTAAGAGGAGCTGGGGGCACTGCCCAGCTCAGGGAAATCAGCTCCTCAAGCCCTGATAAACTGCAGCTCCTTCCCACAGAGCTGCTCCCAGCTCTGGGCCTCTGGCTCGGCAGGAGGTCCTGGGTTTGGTTGTTTCTTGGGCTGTTTGGCCTCATAAATCCTGATTTTGGTTGTTCCTTGAGCTGTTTATCCTCCTAAATCCAGGTTTTGGTTATTCCTTGGGCTGTTTATTCTCCTGAATCCTGATTTTGGTTATTCCTTGGGCTGTTTGGCCTCTTGAATCTTGCTTTTGGCTGCCCCTTGGGTTGCTGAATCCTGGTTTTATCTGCTCCTTGGGCTGTTAGTCCTGTTTTACCCAGGTTATTCCTTGGGCAATTTTTCCTGGTTTTATGGGTGGATAGTCCTGGTTTTATCTGCTCCTTGGGCTGTTAGTCCTGCTTCACCCACAGGTGATGGGTGGCTGATGCAAAGTGCAGCTTGTGTAGGCTCCTCAGGGCTGTGGGGTGAGTTTTAAACCCCTTCAGAGAGGCTCAGATCCACCAAAAAAAAAAAAAAATCCTATTTATCCATTCTCATGGGAGAGCCCTACCCACCTTAGATCCCTTTTCCATGAAAAGCTGCCCTGCTTCTGACCAAGCTGGGGCAGCAGGCTCCCTGTAAATTGATTTTCCTGAGGGATGTGCGTGGCCCTGACAGGTACAGGAGGTGAAAGTGGGAAAAACGGGATCATCCATAGGGATGGAAATCCTCGATTTCACTTCCCAAAAACACATCGGTCCTGCACGTAAATGTTACCTGTTGCTCCCGGGGATAAACTGGGATGAGACTGGGATTTTCTGTGGAGCATCCTGAAATCCTGACCATAGCATGGGAAGGTGCAGAGACCGTGAGGGGTTGCAGGACAGCTGGATATAAAATCTGCTTTTAAATCTGAGCTAATTCAGGGCATTGCTGCTCTCCCAGGAGGATTTTCCTGAGTTTTTGGGTTCGTTTCCAGCACCTGGAGCTCCCAGGGAATGAGGTGCTGCAGAACAGGGAGCTTTGCATGATGGGGCCTAGGAATCTGAAATTCCAAAGAATTCCTGTGTGATTTTTAGGGTTTTTAAAGAGTATTTACTACAAATTCCATCATTTGGTTGGCCTAGATTTTAATAAACCCACCTTGGTTTTGTTATTCCGGGTGAAAGTCCTGAGCTGAGCGCTAGTCTCTTCCTTGGCCTCACAGAGGGGATGTGGAAGGGCTTTAGGGTTTGGGGGCTCCAAGGTTCAAACCTTAAAGGTTTTTATGGACTGAAGGCTGAACTGCCTCCTGGCTAATTAATGAAGGGCTTGACATGGGGATCCTGCTGAGGAAGGAATCCTTCCTGCAGCTCTTGAGCTTCTCCTTGGAAAAGCTTTAATTCCAGAGGTTGCTGAACACCCCTTTCCCAAGGTTTTTATCCCAGTGTTTGTGTTTTGAGGCTGAGGCTCCTCCAAGGGCCGTGTCCCCCTGGGCTGGTTTCACTCTCCTGCGCTGGAATTGCAGAATCATGGAATTACTGAGGTTGGAAAAGCCTTCCAAGGCCATCCAGCCCAACCTGTGCCCCATCCCCACCTCGTCACCAGCCTGGTGCCACGTCTGGTGTTCCTCAGACACTGCCAGGGCTGCTGCTCCGTGACCTGACATGGTGTTTAACCCTTTCCCACATGGAAAACAGGAAGGATCTGAGGGCATTTTGCTGCTTAGGATTTCCTGGGATGATCTTTCCAGGATGGCCGTGGAGACTGGAGCTTTCCCAATGCTGGCTGGGGTCCTGGGACCCCTCCTACATTGTCATTGTCAGCTCCAGGGAGCTCCAAGGAATTTTCCTGAGGGGAAAAGTTGTGAAATGAAGTGGTGGCAGTGAGGTTTGAAGCAGGTTTGGATGCCAGGAGCTCAGCTGGATTAAAATCTGTGGGAAAAAACAACAGAAATGCAGCTGGAATTCCCGGCCAGGCCCTTGGTGGGTGCAGAACTCTGGGAGCAGAGGGGAAAACAGGGACAAGGAAGCTCCCAGGGGGACACGGGCTCTGCATTTTCTACTTTTGGGGGAATTCCTGCCTTTTCCCAGTTTTCCCAGCTTGCCCTTCTAGGAACTGTCCCAAGCTGCTGTGCAGCTGCAGGAGAGACAGGCTGGGGCAGGTGCAGGGTGTTGAAAGCAGGAGAAAATGAAAAGCATCCCTGGATTTCTTCATCAAGCCTCATTCCTTGGCCTTTCCATGGATGAAGCTAAGCAGAGGCTGCACTTCCCTCCTGCAGCAGCCTTATTCTTTTGGTTTTCCATGGAAAAATTTGATTCTTTTTGATTTTCCATGAAAAATCATAATTCGATTTCTTTTGATTTTCCAAGAGGGAAATGGAATGTAACCATTTCCCTCCTGCAGCAGCCTCATTCCTTGGGTTTTCCATGGAAACATTTTATTCCTTTTGATTTTCCATGGACAAAGCTGAGCAGAGGCTGGATTTCCCCCCTGCAACAGCCTCATTCCTTGGGTTTTCCATGGAAACATTTTATTCCTTTTGATTTTCCATGGACAAAGCTGAGCAGAGGCTGCATTTCCCCCCTGCAACAACCTCATTCCTTGGGATTTCCATGGATAAAGCTGCGCAGAGGCTCCATTTCCATCCTGCAGCAGCCTCATTCCTTGGGTTTTCCATGGAAAAATTTTATTCCTTTTGATTTTCCATGGAAAAAGCCGAGCAGAGGTTCCATTTCCCCCCTGCAGCAGCCTGGCTGATGCGGTGGGAACGCGGACTCCGTCAGCAGCACAAGTAAAAAACCAGGATAAATCAGGCAGCTCATCCAGGGGCCATCAGAATTCCGGAATTCTGGAACTCCGGGATTTGTTGCCTCAGCTGGGTCACCAGGGCCTGTTCCTCGTGTGCTTTGTTGCAGACACGGATGCAGAGCCTGCAGCCCGACCCCAGAGCCCGCTACAGGAGCGTGTACGAAGCTCTCAAGAAGATGGTGCTGACCGAGGGGCTCTGGAGGCCTTTACGTGGGATTAATGTCACCATGCTGGGGGCTGGCCCTGCCCACGCCTTGTACTTTGCCTGCTACGAGAAAATGAAAAAGTCTCTCAGTGATACTTTCCAGCCAGGAAGAAACAGCCACTTGGCCAATGGTATTTTTTGGGGTTTTTTCCCTAAAAAAAAACACCAAACATACCGACCCATTTGTGGTTATCACCCTTGCTTGCTGCTCGCTCAGCCTTGGTGCACCACCCAATCTAAATTCTTGTTTAATCTCAAATTATTCCAGCACAAATCAGCAATTTAGTGGGCAAAAGGTGTTCAGGTGCAGCTGGGCTGTTCCTGTATTACCATGGAATCCTTAAAGTTGGGAAAGATCTTCAGGATCAAGTCCCGCATTTGAAAGTGTTGCCTAAAGGTGGGATCTGATGTTGAAGTTATCGCCTCAGCCTCTGGAGGTTTGAATTCAGGTGTCCCTGGAAGCACGGAGTGCAGTCCATCCTCTGTGTGCTTTAATTTTTAGCAGGAATATTTCACTTTTTAACCCAGCAATAGCAGCAGAAACCCTGGAACTGGGCATCCAGGATTTTACCAAAAGGTTTGTGCAGGAAATTTAATTTTTAGCAAGAATATTGCATTTTTAAACCCTGAAATAGAAGCAGAACCCCTGGAATTGCACAGCCAAGGCTTTACCAAAAGGTTTGTGCAGGAGATTTAATTTTTAGAGGGAATATTTAATTTTTAAACTCAGCAATAGCAGCAGAACCCCTGGAACTGAGAGCCAGGGCTTTACCAAAAGGTTTGTGCAGGAGATTTAATTTTTAGAGGGAATATTTAATTTTTAAACTCAGCAATAGCAGCAGAACCCCTGGAACTGAGAGCCAGGGCTTTACCAAAAGGTTTGTGCAGGAGATTTAATTTTTAGCAGGAATATTTTGCGTTTAAACCCAGAAATAGAAGCAGAACCCCTGGAATTGGACATCCAGGACTTTACCAAAATGTTTGTGCAGGAGATTTAATTTTTAGCAGGAATATTTCACTTTTAAGCACAGCAATAGCAGCAGAACCCTTGGAATTGAGCAGCCAGGACTTTGGTAAAGGGTTGTGCAGGAATTTAATTTTTAGAGGGAAGATTTCACTTTTAAACTCAGCAATAGCAGCAGTACCCTGGAACTGAGAGCCAGGGCTTTACCAAAAGGTTTGTGCAGGAAATTTAATTTTTAGCAGGAATACTGCATTTTTAAACCCAGAAATAGAAGCAGAACCCCTGGAATTGAGCAGCCAGGGCTTTACCAAAGGGTTTGTGCAGGAGATTCCGATGATTTTCTGGGATGTGCTGGCAGGAATCTGCTGTGGGGTCCCGGAACTCGGGGCAGGGGATCCAATCCCTTCTCCTGGCTGCTCTGAGCTGGGAACACATTCCTGTGCTCGCCTTTCAAGTAGCTACAGGCCTGTGGTGCCAGCAGGAGAACCGGAGCTGTGGCTTCATGAGGAATGACCAGGAGTCATTTGGGCCAGCGGGAATTGGAGGTGGGAGCCAGGATCAAAGGGAAGGAGTGGCTGGAGAGCCCCGGCCCAGAGCCGGGTGCGGGATGGGTCAGGGCTGGCTGGGTTTGGCGCAGCCTGGGCAGCAAGGGTTGGGAAGCTGAGTAAAGGGATAAAATCCCTAATTAGGGATGTGCTGAGGGCAGGGTAAACATTGCTCACAGCTGGCTCAGGCGCCGCTGGTGTCTGGGCTGGAACCTTGGGAATTGGTTTTGGGAAGAGTAGAGGTGGGGGCTGGGAGCGGATCTGGGCTTCTCGCAGGGTGGGTTTCCTTGCCCTGGGATGGATGGATTCCCCCATGGATGGGTTCCCCATACATGGATCCCCCATGGATGGATTCCCCATGGATGGGATCCCTGGTGGATGGATTCCCTCATGGATGGATTCCCTCCTGGATTGATTGTCTCATGGATGGATTCCTCATGGATGGATCCCCCTGGCTGGATCCCCTGGCCGGATCCCCTGGGTGGCAGTGCCAGGGCGAGCGCTGCCTTCTGAGCCAGGATTTGTTTTCTCAGAGCTGTTCTTGCCTTGCAGGCATCGCTGGGAGCGTGGCCACGCTGCTCCACGACGCCGTGATGAATCCAGCTGAAGGTAATCCTGGGAATCTGGGAACTGCTGCTCCCGCTGCCCCTGCCACAGGAATCCAGGGATAAATCCCCCTTGGCTCTTCTCCCTCTGTCCCTTGGGAAGAAATCCAGGGCTAGCCCCAGCTCAGAGACCTCCAAACCCCGGGGCCTCATTCCTGTGTCCCTTGGGAAGAGAGGGAGAGCAGCAGGAGGAATTTATCCCTGCATCTCTGTGGTGCATTGTGGCTTTCCAGGAGAGAAAAAACACTTTTCCAGTGTCCCCTTTTCCAGTGTCCCTTCACTGGTGTCCCTGTCACTGTCACCGCTCCGCTGCTCCTTGGGGCGGTGGTTCTGGTTCTCCTGAAGTTCTGGGCTAGCCCAGCTGAGCTCAGGTTGGTGCACAAGCTCAACTCTGGGATTCCTGGCGAGATGGAGTGGCAGGAGAAGGCCTCAGGAAAATGTGGATGAACAGGAAAGTGTAGCTCAAAGGACAATGCTGCCACCTGCCAGCTCCTCAGGGTTGTGCTGCTGTGCGGGCCCAGAGCTGGGCATCTCTGAAGGAGAACCTGCAGTGCATCAAATCCTTTTTACTCATACCCTGTTTCAGTTAATTGCATTAATTGGCCTCATTAGTCAGTGAAGCACTGCAGCCAGCGGGGCGGGTGTGTGACACCCCCGGGTGATGCTCAGGTGGGAACTCACCTGCACCTCACCGCTGGGGCCAGGTTTGTGCATCCCCACCGAGCGTCCCTGGCCTCGTGCTGACACCCGAGGGGTCATTCATTAACCCTGAGGGGGTCATTAGAGTCAGAGGGTCATTAATTAACACTGAGGAGGTCATTAGAACTAGGCGGTCATTAGTTAACCCTGTGGAGTTTGTTAAAACTGAAGGGTCATTAATTAAGTCTGAGGAGAGGGGTTCATTAGAACTAAGAGGTCATTAATTAAGGCTGAGGAGAAGGATTCATTAGGAAGTGAGCGCTGTCTGTCCTCTCGCTTTGCTGAGCTCTGCGGGTGCTGGGCGGCTTGGGGGGAATGGGAGCATGGGGCTGGGGTCACTCTGGGGCTGTGCCAGTGTCCTGAGTGGCACTGAGCAGTATCCCTCTCCCCACAGCTGTCCTGAGCTCAGGGTGGGACTGGGGTCACTCTGGGACTGTGCCAGGGTCAGTGGTGAGCTCAGAGGGGCAGCTCGGGGCAGGGCTGGGGTCACTCTGGGGCTGTGCCAGTGTCCTGAGTGGCACTGAGCAGTGTCCCTGTCCCCACGGCTGTCCCGGGCAGTGGTGAAGCAGCGGCTGCAGATGTTCAACTCTCCGTACACGTCGGTGCTGGGCTGCATGCGGACAGTGCACAGGACTGAGGGCTTCAGAGCCTTCTACCGCAGCTACACCACGCAGCTGACCATGAACGTGCCCTTCCAGGCCATCCACTTCATCACCTACGAGCTCCTGCAGGAGCGCCTCAACCCTCACCGCCAGTACAACCCCCGCTCCCACATCGTGGCCGGCGCCGTGGCTGGAGCTGTGGCCGCTGCGGCCACCACGCCGCTGGACGTGTGCAAGACACTGCTCAACACGCAGGAGAACATGGCCCTGAGCTCCCTCAACATCCGGGGGCACCTGTCGGGCATGGCCAACGCCTTCGGCACCGTTTACCAGCTGGGAGGCCTCCCCGGCTTCTTCAAGGGCGTCCAAGCTCGGGTCATTTACCAGATGCCCTCCACAGCCATCTCCTGGTCCGTGTATGAGTTCTTCAAGTACTTCCTCACCAAGCGCGCGCTGGAGAGAAAGCCGGCCTCGTGAGCGAGGAGCAGGAATCTCCTGTGCCCCCTCTCAGCCAGCCCATGGAATGCTGCTGGGTTCTCCTCTCCCTTCCTGGCCATTCCTGGTCACTGAGTGTGCTCAGGGAATCCCAGTCACTGAGTGTCCTCAGGGAATCCCGGAATTCGCAGTCACGAGTGTCCTCAGGGATTCCCATGGGGCTCCCCGAGGATTCCCAGTCATTGGGTGTCCTCAGGGATTCCCGGTCACTCAGTGTCCTCAGGGATTCTGGGGATTCTCAGTCACTGAGTATCCCTGAGGGATTCCCGTGGTGCTCCCCAGGGATTCCCAGGATTCCCACTCACTCAGTGTCCCTGGGATTCCCAGGATTCCCACTCAGTGTCCTCAGGGATTCCCGGGATTCCCACTCACTCAGTGTCCTCAGGGATTCCCAGGATTCCTGCTCACTCAGTGCCTCCTTCCTTCCCTTAAACAACAACAAAAAAAAGAATTTATAGAGACTTTTATATTAATATATATCTATTTAATAACTTTATTTGGCAGCAGCGAAACTGCAAACTGCTTTTTCTGGGAAATAAGATGGAACCTGGAGTTTACTCCTCGCTTATGGTTCAGCTTCTCCAACCTAAGCTGGTTGCTTGAAATACATTTTGGGTGGTTTACTTTTTTTTTTTTTTTAATTTTTTATTTTTACAGCAAAGAAAGAAAAATCTCCTGGCACAGAAGTGAATTTTTATATCGATATAAAATAGTTGGATAATATTTATCCTTTATTTCTACTTGGGCAGCTGGCTTGGGTTTGAAAAGCTTTTAAAGCTGAGTGCAAAGGCCTTCAAAAAGGGCTCAGCTCTTCCTTCCCGTGTAAGGACGACCCAAAAATCATCGATTTTCTGGCCAGATTTGCTTTAATTACTGGGCAATTAAAGCCTGGCTCCTCCTCTGGCTCTCCAGGTCCTCGGAATTCCCATGAGGACATGAGGAATGGGGATGTGGCTTTTGGGGAAAACCCAAAACAGGGAAATTCTGTTTTGTTCTGCTCCTGGAGATGGGGATTTTTAGGGGATGTGATTTTGCAGTTTCTCCTTGCTGAAGGTGCCGTGGGCTGTGAGGCTGCACAGCCTTCATCCTCCCAGAGTTTATTCCCCCTTTTTCCTCCCTGAGGGCCTGATCCTATTCCAGGACCTCTCCTGGGATCTCAGGGTGAGCCTGGAGCTGCTTTGCTCCTGGGAAAAGGAGATCCTGGAGTTGCTGTTGTTTATAGTGTCCCTGGCAGCTCCAGAGCAGACCAAAATCCTTGGGAAAATCCCAGGGCAGATCCAAGGGTGCCTCCCAGCCTGGGCTTGGCAAGAAGCTGCTGCTCATCCCTGTCCAGGAGGGACAAAAATCCTGACCTGGAGGGGGAAATCCTGACCTGGAGGGGTAAAATCCCAACCTGGAGGAGGAAATCCTGACCTGGGGAGGGAAATCCCAACCTGGAGAAGCTCCTCATTCCCTGAGTTTGGTTTTCCTGCTTGGAATGCAAAGTGGGAAGGGTGGAAGCCTCCCTGCGTGCCCTGCTCCAGTTGGGAACAGCTTTTCCAAAGCAAATTCCATCCTTTAGCCACTCCTTTGGGAGATCAGGAGGGAATTTTGGGATCCTGGATGTGCAAATTCCAGTTCCAGGGTCCATGTTCCATTTGAATCCAGGAATAAATTCCATCCTTCCCAAAGCAAATCTCATCCTTTAGCCGCTCCTTTGGGAGATCAGCAGCCAAGGAAGGATTTTTGGGATCCAGTTCTAGGATCCTTGCGATGTTCCCATGTTCCCATTGTCATCTCCCTGCTGGGCATCCCAGGATGTCCCTTGGGATCTCTGGAGCTGTCCCATCCTTTTCCCACAATTTTTGGAGCAGGAAAATCCAGGATCCCCTCTGGGGGGTGCCACGTGTGCCTTGTGGGAACGATCCTGGTGGGAAAAGAGCTTTTTCCTGACTTTTTTTGTGTCTTAACCTGAAACAATCCCTGTGCCTTAAAGCAGGAAAATCCTGCTGGATTCTCCTGGATTTGATGGGATTGGAGGTCTCAGAGTTGGGAATTTTTCTCCTTGAGAAACTGGAGAGTTGCTCCCAGAGCCAGAACTGCTCTGGGAAAATTCCCATAGAGATGGAATTTTGGGAATGTAATGCTGAAGAGACACAATGTGGGATAATTGGAATGATTCCAGCTCCATCCTCCTCTTCCTCTGTATTCTCCTTGGATATTTCTGCCTTGGGAGAACCTCAGCTCCTCCTTGGAGTAATCTGGGAGTAGGGACATACAAAAATCCTGGATAGGGGATGTTGGGAAGTCATTTGGGAATCCTGGGAGAGGGGGAGATCCCTGGGAACCTCTGAGGGATGGGAACAAAAATGATCAGCTGAGATCTGTTGGGAATTTGCTCCTCCTCAGGCTGGGAGTGGGAAAATCCATTCTGGGAAAAGGAAAATCCAGTTTGGGAAAAGGAAAATCCATTCTGAGAGGAGGGAAGTCTTCTGGGAGAAGGAAAATCTGCTTGGATCACCCTGGATATCCAACAAAACCAGCCCAATCCTCATAATTCCAGAAGTCTCACCCGCAGCAGGAATATTTCCAATTTTCCAACTGCTGCTGCTGGATCTGCAGGGAAAATCCCTTCCCAAATCCCCTTCCCCATCCCAAAAATCCCTGCCAAGTTTGCCTGTGCTGCAATTCTGAGCTGAAATCCCTGATTTTAGCCTGGTCTATGATCCCAAATCCCTGATTTTAGCCCTGTCGGTGACTTCAAATCCCTGATTTTGGGTCTGTGATCCCAAATCCCTGATTTTAGCCCAGTCTCTGCCCCAATTCTGCCGCTTTGTCCACCTCAAACGCACAGAATTCTTTAAGGGAGGATGAGGAACTTTTCCAGTTCTTCATCTCATTTTTCCCTTTGGAATTTTTGCCTCAGCAAAAATAAAATTTAAAAAACCCAAAACAACAACAACAAAACAACAACAACAACAAAGTGTTTTCATCGCTGTTTCCCAGTGCAGGATCTGGGTGGGAAACGATGCTGCACTTGTGCCACTGGAGCTCCAGAAAATAAAAATATCCTGATTTTTTTGGGTCTTTTTTTTGGAGTTTGTGGTTGTTTTTTCCTTGGGAATGAGGATGGGGCTGGCTCATCCCTGAGGGAATGGTGCCTGCTAGCGATGCCTGAGCCCTGGGGGAGGAAAATCCGTCTTGGGAAAAAGAAAATCCTTCTGGGAGGAAGAAAATCCATTCTAGGAGGAGAAAAATTCATTTTTGGAGGAGGAAAATTCTGAGAGGAGGAAAATCTGTCCTGGGAAAGGGAAAATCCATCCTGGGAGGAGGAAAATTCATCCTAGAAGGAGCAAAATCCATTCTGGGAGGAGGAAAATCCATTCTAGGAGGAGAAAAATTAATTATGGGAGGAGGAAAATTCATCCTAGAAGGAGCAAAATCCATTCTGGGAGGAGGAAAATCCATTCTAGGAGGAGAAAAATTAATTATGGGAGGAGGAAAATTCATCCTAGAAGGAGCAAAATCCATTCTGGGAGGAGGAAAATCCATTCTAGGAGGAGAAAAATTAATTATGGGAGGAGGAAAATCCATCCTGGGAGAAGGAAAATCCTTCTGGGAGGAGGAAAATCCCTTTTGGGAGTTTTCCAGCCTGGCAGCTCCTCCTGAGGCTCGCTCTCCTCTAGGAGCCGCTGGAGAGTTTTTCATCTCTCCTGGCCGGGAATTCCTAAGCAAATCCACGAACTGCGGCTCCTGCGGCAGCACAAATTCCCAGATTCCCAAAGGATTGGAGGCTTTCCTCCCTTGGAATAAGCAGGCGGGGAGGGAGCACTCTTGGCTGAGGTTTCTCTTGATTTTCCTGCAGGATTTGAAGGAAAAATGCCAGGAAATTCTGGAGCTGCTTTGGATTTTCTCTTTTTCTGGAATAAAAATGGGTAAAATCACATTTCTTGGAGCAGTTTCTGCCCGGTGCTGGTGCTGAGCAGCATCAGGATCAGAGGGGTTCAGCTCTCCCTGAGGCAAAGGAGACCCCAAGGTGGGATCTAAAGGGAAAAAAAAAATGGGAATCTCCACCAAAATATTGAAATTATTAATTAATTAAAAATAAAAAATTAAATAAAAAATATTAAAATAAAATTAAATAAATACAATTAAAATAATTAATTATAATAATTACTATTCTATTATAATGTGGAATGAGCATTTCAGCTCCAAATGGGAAATTCCTGGCTTTTCCAGGGATTTCTGGTGCCCTGAGCAGCCCGTTCTGGGCCCTGGTGCAGCAGTAATTCCACAGCTCCTCTGGGATTTTTGGGGTGGTTTTGCCCAAATTGGGGCTTTTGGGTCTGTCCAAGTATTCCCTGGGAATGGGATCCCAACCTGGGAAAGGGATCCTGTCCCTGGAAATGGGATCCTGATCTGGGAATGGGATCCAGCCCTGGGAGTGGGATCCTGCCCTGGGAGAGGGATCCAGCCCTGGGAGTGGGATCCTGCCCTGGGAGTTGGATCCTGCCCTGGGAGTGGGATCCAGCCCTGGGAATGGGATCCAGTCCTGGGAATGGGATCCTGATCTGGGAATGGGATCCTGTCCTGGGAAAGGGGTCCTTATCTGGGAAAGGGATCCAGCCCTGGGAAAGGGATCAGGGATTTGGGGTCAGACACTGCACTAAACTCCGGGGTTTGAGTCCCAGCCCGGGCTGAACTCCAGGATTTCAGCTGCGAATCCCTGGCCCCGCTCCAGAGCAGCTCCGCACCTGCCGAGCCCAGCAGAAAAGGCTTTCCCTGCTCCCCAGAGGCGTTTCCAGGATGAAATCCCCTGGCCAAACATGAGTGTTTTTATTCCCTTTGTGGGAGAGGGAGGGGAACGAACGGCCGGAAAACCTTTCATTTCCAGAGGCGTCCAAGCCAAACAGGGAGCTCGGGATGAGGAGGAGGAGGGTGGGGAGGGTGAGGTTTGTGCCCGTCAGCTCCGGGAGAAGTGGGGATAAGGATGGGATGTGGGGAAAAATCCCAGCCCGGATCCTGGATTGAGCTCGGGATTGGCCCAGGGAATTCAGGCCTGCTTCATCCCCGCAAGGCTCCAGCCTGGGATAGGGGAAAGAGTCCCTGGAAATGTCCCTGGAAAGCTCCTCCCCTCCCTGGGAATGGGATCCTGATCTGGGAATGGGATCCTACCCTGGGAATGGGATCCTGTACTGGGAATGGAATCCTGATCTGGGAATGAGATCTGGTCCTGGGAATAGGATCCTGCCATGGGAATCCCAGGATCCCATTCTCCAGAGAGGATCCTTTTCTCCAAACAGGATCCCATTCCCAGGACAGGATCCCATTCCCAGATCAGGATCCCATTCCCTTTCTCCTCCTTTGAGATCCTGCTCCAGCCGCAGCACTTCTGGGAGACTCAAACAGTTCCATGGAAAACCGGACTGGCTGGAAGAGCTGGGAATATCCCTCAGGCAGCTCCGGGTGGGAAGGCAGGGCTGGAGTGGACGTGGACCTCTCTCCAAGGTTTTTCCTTTGGAAATGTGTCCCAAAAACCTCTGGATGAGAAGAATTTTTGGGAACACCGTGCCTGGTGGGTGCCTCTTGAAAATCCTGGAATCAACATTAGGAAAAGCCCTCGGTGTGAACAAGAACTGGGAGGATCTGGCTCCAGAGGCATACAGTGGGAAAATCCCGGGAGTCTCTCTTGTGTCCTTGCTGTCCCTGGCAGCTCCTGGAGCGGAAAGAGAACCAGACTCCCCCGGGATAATCCCAGGGATGCGGCTCTCCCTGGAGCAAAGGGGACCCCAGCGGGGAGACCCAGAGGGGAAAAAAATGGGAATTTCAGCTGGAATGTTTCCATTGTGAAATCCCCAGCACGGAGGGAAGGTTTGGTGGGATTCCCACCAAATTCCCTGGGATTCCCCAGGTGGGAAATATTCCTGTCTTTTTTCCTCCTTTTTTTCCCTTTCCTTTGTGGAATTCTGCCTGGGTGGCTGCGCCACCTGGATTCTCCCCTTATTCCCTAAATCCATTGGCTGGAGGAAGCACCAGGTGGACCCAAAAACTTGGGATGTGGTCCATGGTCCTTCCCTGGTGCTGCAGCTGGATTGGGAAGAGATGAGGAGTTCCCATGGATAACACGGATAACAATGGGAATAACCAATACTGAAAACCCTCGAGGGATCTGAAGAGCTTCAAATCCCTGTGTAATCATGGAATGGCTTGGCTTGGAGAGACCCTAAGGCTCATCCCAATCCCATGGGACACTTTCCCTTATCCCAGGGTGCTCCAAGCGCTTCCAGGGCTGGGGTGTCCTCATGGCCCAGCTTCCCTCGCTCCTGGGAACATCCCTGCATCCCAAAGGATCCATCCTCATTCCCGAGGGCTTTCCCTCTCTCCTCCTGGACAGTCCCTCATCCCAGGGGTGTCCTTGCCCTTCCTGCCCCTCTCTGTCTCCGTGCCCCAAACCCATTCCTGCTGCTCTGCCAACTCTGCAGCCAGAGCTTTCCTCGGCTCCAATCCCAGGATTTTTGCCAGGAATGTGGTTCAGGGCATGCAAATGTTGCTCAGCACTTCCATTATCCAAAGGCAGCCTCCTCCCTACCTCTTCCATTTTTTTGGGGGAGCTTTTTTTATCCTTGCCAGAAATGATTTGGCCCTGAGCAGGGGCAGTGTTGTGCCGGGATAATCCTGAGGATCAGGATGGATTTAAATGATGTTTTTTCCCTTCCCACTTGGACACAAATGGGAATTTGGCTTCCTTAGGGCTGGTGGGACCCCCTTGGCTCTGGAGTCAGGTGTGGGATTTTCCCAGTTCCCATTAATCACAGGGATATTTATCCCCTGGGAATGATTGATGCCTTCCCGCTCTCCAAGGATTTGCTTTTCAAACAGCTCAGCCCCTTTTTTTTATTTGTCCTGGGAAAACAAAGGGAAAAGCAACTGGAAAAGTGATGGATGTCCAAAAAAACCCCCTGGGGTGGGAGGGGAGGAGGGAGGGCAGGGCTGAGGCAGCCCAAGGACTCCAGAATGGATCCGGAGCTGCTGCCCCATCCCTGCTCCAGCCAGGCTCATCCCAGAGTTTTTTTGGCAGGATCCCACCTGCACTTTGCAGTTTGGCAGAGGGATTTGGGCAGCAGCTGGATTTGGGAGCAAGAGATGCTCAGCAGGATCATCCTGGCAGGGATAACCCAGTGGGAGATCCCAAATCCAACCTGGGAGTCCCTGCCCTGGACAAATCCCCCTTGGAGAGGAGCTTTTCCCACCCTGAGCAATGGGATCAGGGCCTGGAGGCTGGGTTGGGCTCCATTCCTATTTTCCTATTGAATTCCTGCTTTGGAGCTTTTTTGGGGAGGGTTTTTTTCCTCATTTACCAGAATGGAAACTTAAACTGTGAATAAGGCAGGGATTGGAGCTCATTTTCCATCTGGGAGGACAAAAAACCCCAACTCTGGGATAAAACCACCAGCCCTGGGATAAAAACCCCAAATCCAGGATAAAATCCCCAAACCTGGGATAAGAACCCCCAAACCTGTAGCAAAAAAAATGCTAAACCAGAGATAAAACCCCCAAAGCTGGGATAAAAACTGCTAAACTAAGGATAGAAACCCCAAACATGGGACAAAAAACCCAAAACCGGGATAAAAACCCCAAACCTGGGACAAAACCCCCAAACCTGGGACAAAAAAATCCAATGCCAGGATAAAAACCCAAAGCTGGGACAAAAACCCCCAAACCTGGGATGAAAACTCCCAAATCTGGGATAAAATCCCCAAAGCCAGGATAAAAACCCCCAAATCTGGGATAAAATCACCAAAGCCAGGATAAAAAGCCCAAACCTGGGATAAAATCCCCCAAAGCCAGGATAACCCCAAAGCTGGGATAAAAACCCAAAACCTGGGATAAAAACTCCAAAGCTGGGATAAAAACCCAAAACCTGGGATAAAAAAAACCCCAAATCTGCGATATAAACCCTCGGAAGCAGCTCGTTCTGAGCACAGACCCCGTAGTTTTTATTCCAAAGAATCCCAGAGCAGCAGGAGAGGAAACGGGAACAAAGCCAAGGACAAATCCAGAACCAGCTCCTGGATCTGGAGCTCAAGTGGGAGATTTGGGGTTAGAAACCCCCAGCAGGAAAAAAAATCAGCTGTGACAGCGACATTTTCCCAAAGAAGCATCCAAGAAATTCAATTTAGTTCTCATTTCGGTTTAGATTTGATTGCCAGCTTTGATCTCATTCGTAATTTAAATTTTATTCTCAGCTTAGATTCAATTTCCAGTTTAAATTTCTTTTCCAGTTTAGATTTAATTTCCAGTTCAGAACTCATTCCCAGATCAGATCCCATTCCCAGTTCAGATCCCTTTTCCAGTTTAGATTTAATTTCCAGTTTAGATCCCATTCCCAGTTCAGATCTCATTCCCAGTTCAGATTCCGTTCCCAGCTCAGATCCCGTTCCCAGCTCAGATCCCGTTCCCAGTTTATTCTCCTTTTCCCAGCCCTTCTCATTCCCACTCCAGGCCGTGCCCTGCGGGAAGCTCCGATTGTGGGTTAAATTCTGTGGCTGGATTCCAGCGGCATCCCGAGGCTCTGGGAGTGAAATCCTTGGGATTTGGGCAGGAGGCGCCCTCGGGGGGGGGGGGGGGGGG